CGGGCGGAGGTGAGATATGCTACCATGAATTGCGTCTGACTCCATTACTTGACTCTATCTTTTAGCTCTCATGCTCTCTATGACTTTACTATAATCTCTACTTATTATCGCTGTACAATTGCGCCTACCAAACCTGTGATGTTTTGTGGGGTTCCCTCTTACCCTTAACCCCACACACCATATTCACCATTTTCTCCTTCACCATATTCAAATTTCGTGATTGCCATTTTCGATCACACAGCTGGTGTGCTTCTTCCATGTGGACTTAGTTGACTCTTCACTTAGATGGATGCTTGCTTGAGCACAAGTCTTTAAGACCCCAGAAACTATTCTTTTAAAAATTTTTTTAACTTATTTATTGAAATCATTTTATTGGGGGCTCATATAACTCTTATCACAATCCATACATGCATCAATTGTGTAAAGTGCATTTGTACATTCTCAAAACATCATTCTCAAAACATTCCGCTCTCCACTTAAGCCCCTGGCATCAGCTCCTCATCTTCCCCCTCCCTTCCCGCTCTCCCTCCCTCATGAACCCTTGATAATTTTTAAATCACTATTTTGTCACTTCTTGCACCATCTGACGTCTCTCCTTACTCACTCCTCTGCTGTCCGTCCCCCAGGGAGGAAGTTATATGTAGATCCTTGTAATCAGTTCCCCATTTCCACCCCACCCTCCCCCCCACCCTTCCGGTATCACCACTCCCACCACTGGTCCTGAAGGGATCATCCGCCCTGGATTCCCTGTGTTTCCAGTTCTTATCTGTACCAGTGTACATCCTCCTCTAACCAGGCAGGATTGGAATCATTATAATGGGTGGAGAGGAAGCATTTAGGAACTAGAGGGAAGTTGTATGTTTCATCATTGCTACCCTGCACCCTGACTGGCTTGTCTCCTCCTTGGACCCTTTGATAAGGGGATGTCCAGTTGCCTACAGATGGGCTTTGGGTCCCCACTCCGCACTCCCCCTCATTCACAATGATATAATTTTTTGTTCTTTGATGCCTGATACTTGATCCCTTCAACACCTTGTGATCGCACAGGCTGGTGTGCTTCTTCCATGTGGGCTTTGTTGCTTCTGAGCTAGATGGCTGCTTGTTTACCTCCCATGTGCTCTGATCAAACATGTCCCTCTCCCTGAGCTGCAGCTTCAGTGCTGTCCTCTGAAATAAATTCTTCTGGGGGAATCCAGACACTATTCTGATTGATAGCTGGGCACCATCTGCTTTCTTCCCACACTTTGCTGTAGCGCCCTTATCTTCAGTGATCATTGCATGAAGGTGAGTACCCAACAGGGCCATCATGTAAGAACTGATTATCCTTAAAGTTGGTGCTAGCATTTAATGTGAGTCCAAAACTCATTCTGGATTTATGTTTTTTAAAAATTTGCTTTAATTTGGGAGTTAATGCATATGTCATATCATTCCATAGTTTAATCATATCAAACATAATCATACAATTGCTTCCATAACCAACCTCTAATAATACAGATATCATAAAGAAGAAAATATTACTATTACTCAGACATAATAGGGGGATGAAAAGGAAACAGGAGCCACAACCAATATCTGCTATTCCATCTTTGGCACTGGGAACAGTCACTGTGGCTGGCAAGTTCTGGCCCTCCATCTTCAGCTCCAGTTTCAAAAGTGGGACGAGTTCAAGTCTGTCTCCACGTAACATCTGGGTGAACAGGACGTAACATCTGGGTGAACAGGACGTAACATCTGGGTGAACAGGACGTAACATCTGTGTGAACAGGACATAATATCTGGGTGAACAGGACGATAACTGCCCCCGTCCTGGATCGTGAGTAGGACTCACAAGTCCTTTTATACTGTTTTGCTCAAAATGCAAATCTGATCCTAACATCTCCCACTCAAATTACCACATGTCTTGTCCATTGCTCCTGGAGGAGATCAGCGGGTCGTAAGGTGATCGGGAAGGGGGAGCGTAGCCGCCTGGCAGGGTTCCGATACTTAGCAAAGTGAAACATGGGGGTCTACTGAGATCTGAGTTTCCGATGAGCGACACGTAACGTTTTTAGGTTACGTAGGTCCAACGCAATTTTTATATCTGGAAACCCAGCCCCAGGGGAAAATTTGCTAATTCCTGAAGATCCTTTGCTTGACCACTGCTGAACAAGAGGGTGGAGCACTACTGACTCTAATGCACAGAGGCAGCCATGCTGCCTAACGGCCTGCAGAACACCCCAGCCCCACAACCAACACTGAGCTGATCTGAAATGTCAGCATTGTCACTGTGCAACAACCCTGAACCAGACGTCTTTGTTTGAAATTGATAGATTAGAAGTCACAAGACCCTGGCTTTTCGCATCAGAAGGCAACCAAGAAAAGTCCTTTAAAGATGTTTAAAGAAAATATATGCTGACTAGCTGCTGGTTTCCCACCTGATCTGTAAGGTACTGCACCAGTCACTGTTAGTGTCTGTTCTTTTCAGTGTCCTCTGTCCTTGCTTAAGGAATAATAATCCATTGTTCTTTGGCAGCCATTCTTATCTTTTCCTTTTACTTTTAATTCCCTCTTTCTCTGTTTGTTTTTCTCCCCAACTCCCCCCAGCCCGTTTCTCCCTCCTAATTCAGGGTTCTGGAAGAAATATACAGTACCCTCAAACAGGAATGATGAAGAGTTTAATAAAAAGAGTATTTACAAAGGTATGGGTAGGGTTAAAAGGAACCAAGAGATGTGCAGTGTCCTAGAGTTAACAGTTGTTAGTTGCTGTTGAGTTGGTTCTGATTCTTAGCGACCCTTTGTACAGTGAACCCTCGTTTATCGCGGTTAATCGGTTCTAGACCCTACCGTGATAAATGAAATTCCGCGAAGTAGGATTCCTTATTTGTAAATCAAATAT